GTTGGATTTAGCTTACATGTACACGAGTGGGCCCTACTTCTGTTGGCAATATTTTTTGGGGTCAACAATACTAGTTTAGAATTGAAATCAATTCCTCATCTTGTTATGTATTTATTTTAGAACCAGATGTGAAGCAGAGGCCGCCTAGCCATGACAAAAAAATAAAATAAAATGCAGGAGCTTCCCCTGGTTACTTCAAAGATCCAATTAGATAGTTCTTCTTTTGTTTGGACAGAGTAACATTTTACCATCCAGGATCTCTTTGAGATCTTTCTCTTCTTTTCATTCACTTTTGTTAGGTTCAACAGGTATCCATTAAGTCTTGTAAGTATTCTCAAGGGTTGACAACTCCACCTCTTGCAGGAACTTAATCAATTTATAGTTAGATGATAATGGGTTTTCAAGAAACTCTTAAATAAGCATTTCCGCAAGCTTATTTTCCCTCCCACTCTACTCCAACAGATTACAGAACTTGGGGTATCCTTACCTTGCAAAGCACCATTTTTAAGACAATATGATGAGGCCCACTCGGGCAACTGGAGTATGTCCCATGTTGTTACACAAAAACACTCAAAAACTTAAAAAATGCACAAGGGGAAATTCCCAAGAACAAATTCTAAATTCAAAGTTCCTTTATCCCAAGAATTTTGAAATTTTGGTGCTGAGAACAAGTGTATATATGCCACACAAGAGGACTATCACTTTTTTTATTTCTCTTTACGTGCTTCTAGGGCAAATATCTAAGAATCTAATAATCATGACATATACGTACATGTTCTCCACAAACACACATCTATTGATAGTATTATAGAAATACACATAGATATGTGTTTATAAATACAGGAACAAATACCAGGAAGATCCCAGGGTTCCCATCTGCAGACATCAACTTCAGGTATAACCTTAACTTCAGAATGACGGCCGTTGATCTTTAGCCTTAGGTAGTGATTTATGAGCTCCTCGTCCGTCGGTCGAAATTTGAATCCCTTCGGCAACGCCTCCATCTCCATCGTCTTTATTACTCTACCAGAACCCATCACATATTCACCATCTCAATCAAATTAGAAATTAGGGCTGCATGATTAGGAGCTGTAGTAATGATTTACAAAGTGAAATGCTACTGTTTTCCGGGGTTCTTTTCAAAATGTCTTTGTCAAACATCCATTTATTACAATGCCCAAATTTTTTTGACATTCACCACAATAGCCTTCCAGATGGTCCGGACGTGTGGGTCGTCGACGTTAATTTTTTTCACGTTAATAATTTTTTTTAATGCAGCAGATATGGGATCAGTTGCAATCCCGATTCTTTTCTTTGGTGAATTTGAAGAGAACGAAAATGGTTGATGGGTCTGAAAATGGACAGGTGATATACATGGCTACAATTTCAATTGTATTGACATCG